GAACGTAACTAACCTCTTCATGTCCGCCGATCTTAGGGGCCAGGTTTCGCAACCGTACAGTAAGGTCGAACGTACCGCTGCATTGTACACTCTACTCTTCAGGGCGAGGGCGATGTCGCGCCGCCGCCATAGGTGGCGAAGTTTAGCAAAAGCACTTCGAGCTTTCGCTATACGGTTCGTGATCTTGTCTTCGATCCAAAGGGCACTGATACAACTTCCCAGGTAATTGAATTTCTGAACGACCTCTAGCTGGTCCCCCCGAGGGTCAGCGCAGGAAGCCATCCCTGCCAATCTTGGAGGAACGCTTTGCACTTCGATGGTGCAAAGCAAAGCCCGAAATGGCGGATAGTCAGTCCTAATCTGTCCAGCGCGGCTTGGCACGTCTAGGAGCCGTCACAGATGAGGGCAATGTCGTCTGCATACTTTGAAATGGGAGCTATAGATACAGGCATGAAACCGTGGTGGAAGCCACGTTGGAAGGTCAAGGCCTACTGAATCCGTAGAGCGTTAGCTGCTTCTTTATAGTTCTTATGCGGTATGGGGGATGCCGTGCTTCACTCTCATAATTGTGTTTGTATGAATATATATGAGAGCGTTTCGTTGTTGACAACTTTATAGGCCAAAGGTTGCTGACGAGCAACTTTGTCCTCACGGACATGCATATTGCCGAGGTTGCGCTGGGTAACGTATTCACTCCAGGTTTAGGGATCAGGACGGGCTTTGTAAGCGTCAAACAGCATTCTTTACTGACATAAATTTGCGGGTTCTACTTCTGATGATCGACGATGGATTAATGGAACAGAACTTCGTTTCTGACATGGTGCTATCATATTTTTGAAATGTCCAACGAATTGAATCCATGCGCTGTCAGGTGGGCCAGTTCTCAAGAATTCCCACTCAGTCGTCGCAACTGGATCGTTCACGACGTTGCAGCATGTGATGGTATGTCTTAGTTCATTGTGTTCCTCCGAATATTAAGCGTAACATAAATGTTTATAAAGTGTAGTGACATGATCAGTTAGCCCTAGTGGCGTGTCTATAAAAGGGCTGTCGAGCATGAGTTCCTCATTTGTAAGTAAAAGGTCACTTAGCGATTGGTTGCCATCAGCTCTGTTACATGTAGGTGGGGTGAGATGATTATAGTATGGAATACTTGCCATGTAGTCTTGCAATTCAGGTTTTAATATTTCACTGGGAGATGCCGAGGATTCTAAGTCGTGCACGTTGAATTCGTCTGAGACAAGAACTTGGCTATATGTTAAGAGTACGTTTGTCAGTGCCTGTATTAGATGGGAGTCCATATCTGGAGTGGACAGTGGGGACGATAAACAGCTGTCAGGATGAACGCACATGGCAGTTTCAGAGAAGCAAAATGCACGATAAGGAATTCGTGACCCAAATCTCCGAATCATGTACTGGTTCACGTTGTAGATTGTTGCGATGGTAAATGATTACACCACCTCCTCTCCTGGGACGATGGTGTCGTAACAGTGAGATTCCCAGAATCGCGATCTCTGCATCCGTGACCTTTGAGTGCAACCAAGTTTTGGTTAGGAAGATGATATCCTAAAGCTTCGTTGCCGGAAGCAACCGAAGCTTGTTGATTTTGCTGAGGAGAAGTGGGCGTTTGTGTACATTCAGGAAACAGTTTCTGTTCTCATCAGCGATCCGAAAGACATGTGACTAGAATAAGAGATTGTACCAACCGTTTTATGGTCGGCTGCTAGCCGTTTTTCTGTTGCTCTTATCAGCGAGTCGCTTGGAGTTAAGTTTGGTGGCATCGTACATAGCTCCTGTGACAAACAGATTGCAATCATACATGCAGTGTGAATACAAGATTGCATGAGAAGACCATTACTTAGTAGATTCCTTTTGACAGCAGTATCGACGGTTACCGTCCTCTCCTCGGATAAAGTGATAATATAAGCAATGGAACCTGTATTGATTGCTTCCACTGGTAAACTGGGTATAGTTGTAATACTAAAAGCCTACAAATCGAAGTCAATGTGACCGGAATGTATCGTGTTCGGTAACTGCTCTAGGGACCCCGATAAAATGTAAGACGACTGTCAACGGACGCGTGAAAACAGTGCAACGAAGCAGCTCGAAATATGGAGCCTCAACCAGCTAGAAATCCATTCCGGAGCTCCGCGATATAAAACGATAAAAACATCAAGCAAAGGTACTAAGAGTAATTACGTTAAGGATATTGCGTCCCACAGGTTGTATGTGTGAGGTAAATAGTAATTGTCCTAACATTTAACCTTACCCCATGGCTGTGCATACAGTTACAAATGTGTCACAATGGACTATTCACTTAGAGACGAAGCCTAGTGTGATGTGCGCACCCACATGGAGGTGCCGAAGCTGCATCGGGTAGTCTCTAGAATTACTTCTTCACGCTTAGGTCCTTAGCTTAAGCTAAGTAACCTCTGTCACTTACTCGCCAGGACCATGGGGTATGGAGACAGTCTCACTATGGCCCGTTACCAAGAAGCACATATGGAGCGACTTCGTTATCTAAGACACTATCAGCGCGAAATATCTTATTTTTAATATGGCAAAGAGGAGTTCCTCTTGTCATTTTTAGCTTATATCTTGTGTAACGATTGTTTCATTGTAAAGTATGTGCCATAACAGGGAAAATAGCTGACTGTGACTGCATAGTCAAGAAGCAGATCAAACTTCAACGTTATTTTCTACGAGCCGTCTCATTACACAAGCTGAAACTAACGTTTAACTACTGGAGTGTTTCCGTAGCAATGAGAGCTTCCCCGCTTCCTGTAGCTGGAACCACATTTGCTAAAACAGCTTAAGACGTCTGCGATAACTAATGAAGTGCGCGCCGGTGGGAATATTTAGGCATTAAATAATCCAAGAATATTTAAAAGAGTGCTATAATCCTCGAAGGTGTGAGACACAAACAACTGAGTGCGCCGATCAATTTGTACATGGAGGTTGCATAAAACGTTAATCGTTCATGTTTTGTACAACGGATCCCAAATGGGTTTTTGAATTGAGTGGCATTTTGCAAGCACAAGAAGGATTAAGAAACTGGGAACAACCAAAATGAAGATTTAACCGGTGTTCAAGTAAACTAATGCGGTCATTCATGGAACTGTCTCCACGGGGCATGCTTCCATGCAGGGTATTCCCTCGATGGGTTTCACCCGCACTTCCATGCACCAACTGGCTTTGTGCTGGTGCGGTAAACTAGAAAACAAGCCATCAGCTATTTAACAACATTTTTATGATATAAGGGCTGTTTTAGGTATAGATTATGGGCGACGAAGCATTGGTATGTTCCGTCGTGCGGATGATTCAAGTATGGCGCTTTTTGTTATATGTCAGCGAGTCAGTGGCAGTACGCTTTACATGGATATAATTTCTTAATCACGGATATTGTAATCCGTAACCACAAGAGATCAGCCCAGTCGTGGCCAACAAAGAAATAAGGAAGGAAATAAAACAAAATGAATTAGAAACATACTAATCGTTACAATCATTTGCCGATAGGCCGAATAAACTTCGTTGGAAACTCTTGGCGAACTATGACGACAGTTCAGAGACTTCAGCTTCAAAGGCGTGGTTCATCTCCAAACCAGTGCCTTGGAGAAGAAGAAGACAGTACTGGATAGATGGGAGTGCAGAAGTAGCAGGAATGAGTTCGTTATAAATACATGCAAAAATATTCGTCCACGGGTAGGTAAAATGGTGCTATTGAGGCAATTAAGAAATAATGATGCGCATACTTAAACAGTACTTCCGATTCCGTGGATTGGGGTAAACATAGTTATCGATAGCAAAATGGTCATTACACTCAAATCCGACTAAGACAAAAGTATTTCGCTATAAGAAAAGGAGTCGATTGATATATGGTCTCACTTGAATCGGCTAGGTGTGGTTAGGATACATCTACTGCGGCAATTTAGTATCAAATCTCCAAATCTGAAACCACTTTTTATCTTTGTCTTTCTGACTTTGATGGGTCCGGGAGGGGTGGTCGATCCCTATTTGCATATCCACATTTTTAGCCCACGAACAACCGTCCACTAAGTAAGCATGGGAGCGGACTATCCGCCGCATCGTTTAATGAAGAGCGCCTAGGAGAGCCTGAGCCATGATTAATGAGAGTCAATTTAATTTCCGATGTATATCCCCTTTGCCAGACAGAATGAAATGAAAGTTCGCTTTTGACACGCTGAACTGATGCGCCGGACGTTTCCTTACAAGTAGTCGGAACTTAACCATTATCTTTGTTCATTCACGGAGAGAAAAATTACCTTTGAGCTGGAAACGAAATTACTATGTATTAGTTGTTTATCAGCGTCATCTAACATAACTGCTGGATGTGACAGTACATTTAAATGTACAATGAACAATGATTTATAACGGGCAAAAAAGCAGGTGCTTGACATGTCCCGTGGGGTGCATAGCGTGATAAAGAGATAGGGAAGGGATAATGGAGTCTTCAGTTCGGGCGCTTACAGATGTAACTGCACTGTCGTATAGAGGGAGTTTGAAATGAGAATGTGCTCACACAAAGCAATAAACCATTGGATTGCTTTGTATTTTGATCAAACGGTGTTTTCGTCATCATTCTGTTGCTAGCGATTCTATCAAAACTTAATTTAAAACATTAAGAGGTTGGATAACACAAACGAGTGCAAGCGAGTTACTTAAAATATGGAGCTGGTGTTTAATTTGTCTCCTGTATGTATCATAATTTGTTTGGAATGTAAACACCGACACATGAAGTTACCTGGACATAGTTTAACATGCTCACATGCGTACTGACATACAAATTGTATGCCATTGTGTCTCACTGAAACACAGGTAGACCCACTGCTTTGAGGCAATATTAGAGTTTGTTCGGCACTCTGGCCCTTTTAGGATTTTATGCGGCATAAAATATACCCCAATCATAATAAGGCTCGTCCGCTTTTGTTCGGGACTCACAGTACTACACTTGGTAATTTGAGCGTGATTCTGCACCCAGCATGTCCTCGGTGATCAACATCAGCTGGAAAACCAGATTGCTATTGAGGCCACCTCATGATTTCAGCTTACGACTGGAGGCTTCGTTTAGGGTTGGTCTAGTGGTTGCAATAGGCTTAACTTCCACATGCGTGTATACGAGTGTATAAAATAATTAAACTACTTGATGGACCAGTAACACTGAAATGCAAGTTTGTCAGAGAGAAAATGCGAATCCGTTTCCTATTTGGGTGCAAACCAACGCTCGCTATCTTCGACAGTTTTGTAAGTTGCTGGGTCGAAAGCAACTGAAACCTAACAACACAAATTTGAAGCTACTCGCTAAGTCTTATTTGGTAGAGGTTACCAGAACTTTCTCAATTTTTAGAGACAAATCAACGCCGTGTGACGATCACTGACCAGCATTCATTGGTTTGCCGTGTAAAGTTCACGAACTTACGCAAAACCGTCGTTGACAGAAAGAAGAGGAAACTATCCAAGGCACAGCAGAGATACAGTGAGAATGTAGAACATGAACCCATGTTTTCTGGTGAATTACAGCGGCATGTGTACAACTTGTCATCAGTACTCTTGGATAGAAAGCAACTGGAAACGTTATCATTGGGCATGAACTTCAAAATACCTCCCAAGAAGATATGTCGAATCTATGTTGAAGCCCAGTTCGAAAGCCTAATCGATCAACTGTCCAAATTGAACCCGAGGACTGGCTTTAAGTTAAACTTGTTGACATTGCGCATGGTTACATGGTGGCTCCAAACCACTATCCTTGTTGTCTAGATAACAGTCACCTTAAGGTCTTACGTGAGCCGAAAGCCAGAGATGTGTTGGTTTTAATATCAGACAAGAGTACGTTTGTTGTTATGGATAAGTCAGATTATGAACACAAGATGTTTGATATCCTGACGGATGAATCCAAATTTCAGGAGGACAAAAGCAGAACCACTGTTATGCAAGTTGCAAAATGGGTGACCAATCGACTAGAATGGTTACTTCAGCACGGTATGATATCAGAAACGGTGTACACTTCCCTTAAGCCCATGGGTACATGTAGCCCACAAATGTACGGCCTGCCAAAGATCCACAAGGCTAACACATCATTAAGGCCAATACTCTCCATGTGCAACTCCCCGTACCACAAGTTGGCACGTTGGCTAGTCGACATGCTTGCACCAGTGAGACAAATGATAAGCACGTACACCGTGAAAGACACTTTTGATCTCACTGATTGTGTGCAGGATGTGAATATTGTTGACAAGGTTATGTGTTCTATGGACGTAGAGTCTTTGTTCACCAACATCCCATTAAAAGAAACAGTGGATTACTTGTGCGAGTTCATCACGAATAAAAAGTAGCCTTGCGAATTCCAGTGGAATATCTCAGGGATTTACTGCCATTATGTGCAGAAAATATGCACTTCTTATTTAATGGACACGTTTATCGACGGGTAGATGGTGTGATCATGGGAAGTCCGCTTGGCCGGGTACTGGCTGATATATTTATGGCCATGGTCAAAACGAGGTGTGAATCCTATCTAAACCAGATATGCCTATACATGCGATATACTGATGACGTCTTGGTGATTGCCCCAAGTGTAGCGATTGTTCAGTCTCTACTCAGTGCCCGTAACAATGCACATCCCAAAGCCCGTTTCACCTGTGAGCTAGACGATAAAAATTGTCTTGTTTTTCTGAATGTATTGTTGACAAAACGAGACGATGGCTCAATAAAACAAACTGTTTACAGGAAAGCTACATGGACAGCTCTAGGTGAGAACTTCAATAGATTTGCGCCAGTCCAATACAAACCTTGCCTAGTCAAGATCTTTTCGATCGTGCCCTTAGCATATGCAGTGCTGACTGTGTGGAGTCGGAATTATCGTTCTTCACACAGACATTACGGACCAATGGATATCCAGAGGCATTCATCAGACTTTACAGTCACCCGAAGGAAAACTAACCAAGAGTACTTACTGTGCCCAAAAGCCCGTCTATTTACGGCTACCCTTCAAAAGTAATGTGGTGACGGCACAAATTGAACGACGAGTGAACTCAGCTATTCCCCGTACATACAACTCTGCCAAACTCTGTCCTATCTGGACAAACAAAAAGCTGTCGATGTCCCAATCAAACCTACTCAACCGGTCTCCGCCACAACTCATTGCATTTACTAATTCATCTGTACCTGCGGAAGCAGTTACGTGGGCAGAACAGACCGGTGTCTGAGTCAGTGGATTGGAGAGCACATTCCGAAGCGAATTGCTGTGCTGATGACCCAGCAAGCTACCGGGCAAGGAGCAGCAGCCAAGCTGCCGGCCTTATCCATCGCCAGGCACCTAGTCAGTACATATCATCAACTTGACCTTGGGTAAACTTTTACAGTTATCTACCGAAACGAAAGCGCCAGGGTGATGAGGTTTGCCGAGACTGTGGCCGTAAGCGTTACCGTCCCACCGTTTGTGTGCCAAAGCTACTGACAGTAGCCCTTAAGTTTCCTTGGGGTTTTGTTTTGTGTGCATTTTTTCTGACCAATTCATAACGATCGTTTCCTTCCCTTAGGTGATCTATATAAGTTGTTAGTTTGCAAGTGGTCAGATAATACGAAATGGTGCCAACTTCAGTGCTCGTCTTCTTATTGTTTTGTTCAGAATGATTCAGGAACATGAAGCTTTAAATACCAAAATTTCGTTTTACTTTTCCCTTTAGTGTATATGGTAGCTATGACGCAATCAACTTCAACATTCTTTTCTATCCCACCAACGCCAGTCCTCATTCTACTGCAGTGTAAATAGTCACTAAGTTGGTCGCTTCTCATCCGTAAGCGACTACCTTGTTTCTTTTGCAATAATTTTCTACAGCTGAACCAACAATATGTAATTGGCGCACACTGCTTCCGACTGAATATTAGTCCAACAAGGCGGAATGGAGACATAATATATTACCTTGATCGATAATAAAAGCCGAGACAAGGGTTCACAGAACAACTAACCTCTGGTCGGATTGGATTGAAAGGGTTTCGCCTACATTCAGAAAACTGTGATGACTAAGACCAGCTATATTCCACCAAACGGTCAAGAGAACCCATTCGGCAAAGAGGGAACGATCTTGGCCTATTGGTTGTTGTTTACCGCCCACCATCGTCTACTCCTGAGATGGACTGCAATTTGATGGCTGTGTTGAGGCCAGTGATAAACAGGAAGTACAGTCACATTCTAGTCACCGGTGACTTACATGCACTCGAATCCCAGGCCACACCAGGAGAGCAATTCAAAGCAGATTTGCAAGATCTGGTTTCAGACTACCCTCTTTATGGCAACGTCACTACGCCCACCAGATCCAGGGGAAATGACAGGCCATCCATATTGGACCGAATATACAACAATGAAAAATTGATGGTCGAGAGAGTAATAACAGATACTCCTTTAGGCCGCAGTGATCATGCGACACTAGTGCTTCATTACATGTGCTGCGCGGATAATCCTAAAGAACATGCCAAGGAATCTCATGTCGTAACCAACTAGGACGACATGTCCGACCTTATTGATACAACCAACTGGTCGTTCTTAGCTGAATTAACCCCTGAGGTGGCCTGCGAAGAATTCGTCAACATATTTACCAAGCTCATGGCAAGGACATCTGAAACCAAACTCTACCGGCCTAGAAGGATGAGGTCTTTCGTAAGGAGCAGGACACGTAAGTGCATGGCATTAAGGGACTTGACATGGCACATTTACATAGCCTTCCCGAACGACTATACCTGGGATGTCCACACAATACAAAAGAACCACTGTGCCAAACTCGTCGGTGAGGATAAACTTAAGAACCAACAAGGTCTAGTGGAAAAGTTTTGCTCCAATCTCAAACTGCTATACAGACACGTAAACAATTTGCGCCGTGTTAAGCGCGGTATTCCTGCTCTGCACACAGCATGCGGGTTAGCCCAAACCGCACAAGAGGCGGCCAACTTTCTTGGACAATAAGTTGGCCGTACCTTCCATGGCGTGCAATCATCATACATCCTGCCTAAGCAGATAACGCCGCCATCAGGGCTTAATCACATATCGTTCACCTCCACAGCTGTACTATTGATGCTGATGTCTCTGCGCGAGTTCAACTCCCCGGGTACAGACGGCATTCGCCCGAAGGCGTTGAAAGTTGCTACCACTAGCAGTTTTCTTTCAACGATGTCTGAACGAGATGCACGTCCCCACGATGTGGAAGCACGGAATCATCACGCCAAACTACAAAAGTGGCAATCGTGCTGAACCAGCAAACTATCGCCGGATAACACTACTTCCTGTGATCTCCAAAGTTATGGAGTCCATTGTAGCTGAGGCTTTGATGGGGTACCTGGAGAATAACAAAATTCTCGCTCCGGAGCAGCACAGATTTCGCCAAAATCGGTCCTGTACCACTAATCTTTTGATTGCTCGGGCAAGCCGGACGGAATCTGTGGACGCTGATGTAGGAGTCGACGCGGCCTACTTGGATTTCTCAAAGACATTCAACCGTATAGACCATCGCATTCTCCTCCACAAACTCTAGAAATATGGAATCTGCGATCCTGTTCTGGGCTGGATGGGAGACTTTCTCGTGCAACGTCACCTGAATGTGACGGTTAGAAGCAACCTATCAGAATCCATCGACGTTCAGTGCGGAGTACCTCAAGGCTCGGTACTTGGACCCCGCCTGTTCCTGGTTTTCATAAATAATCTCGCGAGTGTGCTATCTTCTAACTGTTTACTATTTTCTGATGACCTAAAGATATGGCACACTATAGCTACAGTGGAGGATCACACAGTGTTACAGGAGGACCGGGACAAAGCGTACACATGGTCCATCGAGAACATGCTGCATTTCAACGTCACCAAGTGCAAAGTCCTCAGTATACGGCACAAGAGTGCGGACAAATACCACAAATTCTACAGCGGGTTTCTCACCGGTGCGATCTCGGCGTGATAGTTCAAGATGACCTAGGTTGTTCG